TAATTTAATATTTAGTATTAATCTGAAATCTGTATCTAAAAAATAAAATAATTTTCACTTTATATTTTAATTGCTCTTTTAATTTATTAGAATTTATCTAATATTTTAATACTGCTATATTTACATAACTATATGATAATATCATCAATGATAATTTATTTCAGATTATAAAGGTAACCTATTTTACTTTAATAGATGATAACAAATTATATATTCTTAAAAGAAATATTAAAAACATCATTAATTAGGTTAGACTATATTATATAATAGTATATATTTCTATTAATTAATTAAATAAATTAGTTCTTAATACTTTACCTTATATTATTATTTCTATTTTATTTAGTAATAATAATATTAATTTCTCTTTAACAGATTTTTACCTTTTATTTCAATCTGAAAAAAATCTTATATTTTATATAAATAGTTTATTTTTTCTTTTTTCTCTAATATCTTTATATTTGAGTTTTACTTTTTATTTAATATATAATTCTCTTAATATAAACTTCTCAACTGCTATTTTATCTAACTAGATTAACTTTACTAACGTTAAGATCTTTACTTTATTACTTATTTTTTTAATTTGTCCTTTTATTTTAAATATAACTATTAATACTGATAATTTACATATACAATTATATAGTTAGAGCTAATATCTATAATTACTTTCCTCTCATATTTAAAATCTTCTTTTATATTTTTAGATAAATAATTGTAAAATTATTAAAGAATATCAAAAAAATTTTATTCTTATTAAAGTAGTTATACATTTTGATGAATTATAAAGTTAACTAATTAGCTAAATCTTCTTTTTTATTACTCACTTATAATTTCTCTCAATTATATTTCTTTTATTCAATATATCTTTATTTTTAACTATATATTTATATATTATTTGTTAAGATCCTTTCTTAAAGATTTTATAAATACTAACATTTTACAGATTATTTCTAATTAAAAAATAATATTAAATATTAATACTTATAAATTAATTAGATATTAACTTTCAAGTTCATTTAAAATAAAATTCTAAATGTAATTTTATTTAAAAAATTTAAAGTTTATACTCATAAAATCAAGTTTCTTTAAAATAATTACCTATTATATAATCTTTAAAGATCATATAACTATTTATTTATATTTTTTTATAAAAATATTATCATTATTCTACTTATAATATAATAAAGATTTTAATCACTTTTGATTATGTTTTGTGATCAAGTTTACATTATAATCTATTATATAAAACTCATATATTGAAATAGCAAATTTTTATACATATCTCAAAGTTCATATTTTTAAATAACATCAATAAATTACTAAACTCTTATTTTTAATGATTCCTACATATTTTTTTCATTAATATTATTAAAGATATTATTTCTTCTTTCATTTTTGATAATTTAACTACTTTTACTAAATTTTTATTTATTACTTCCTATATTTTTATTTTTTTTATAATTATATTTTAAGTTATACTTATAATCTTATTATTAAAAAGAAAGATCTTTACATATTATTGTTCGATAAAAAAAATAATTTGTATCTTTTAATGTCAATTTTTTAATTAATAGTTTTACTGATATTACCTTCAATTAAATAATAATATCCTAAATTATATCACCTTTTTAAATAATTTATACAAATATAATCGCTAGTGATTTTTTTTAGATTAATGATAACCTATCTTTTTTTTTATTTAGTTTAATAATAATGATTATTTAGTAAATTTTCATAATTAAAATTAGATAAAATAATTAGTTAATCTAGTAAAAATTAACTTTATTAATAAAAAAAGTTAAACAGCATATTTTATTTTTATATTTGTATTCATTTTGAGATTTTTATATAATTTTTTTTACTATTTTTTTTACTGATTCTGTTATATATAATAAAATTATATATTACTATGCTTTTAAAAAAATGATTCAAATTTCATAAACTTTAATTTATTTTAAAACTTTTAATATTCTAAATCTTATAATATTAGTTTGATGATTATCTAACTTATACGTTGTGTTTTGTAAGCAATTAATGATTTTTTATATTAAATTTTACATTTTAAGATTCCATAGCTAATATTATTTTTTTATATAATAATAGGTAATTTTTTTATCTATTTTAAATAATTAGCCTTAGTATTATTATTAGAAAATTAATTCAGAATTCGCTCATAAATACTTTTTCTAAAATTAACTTTAAATCTACTCAAGATTTCTTAAGATATATATAATTAAAATTTTTGTTAATTCTTAAAGGTATTTTAGTTTCTTATGATCCAATTTTAATAAATTTTAGCTTATTTTAAAGTTCTTTTAAGGTTAAATCTGATTATTTTGAATCAAAATTTCTGACTTAGATTATATGATCACTTTATTTCAAGAATTTGTAATTTAAATAATTAATTTTAAACACTCATAAATAGTCCTATTTTTTATATATTAACTTATAGTTTTTTCACATTTTTTAAATTTTTATATACTGAAATTAGTATTTAGTATTATTACTTTTAAACAGTTCCTTTTGCTTTAGTTCTGGAATTTATATTTGCTTAAAATTCTTCCATGATAAGTCTCAAAATAATTGCTTTTCATTTTTTACAAATTACTTTGGATCTAGTAATTGGATTTTAACAAATTTAGACTTGTTTGAAAAATCAAAACTTACTGAATCTTTTGTTAAAGTTGTATTGAAATTGGTCTGATTAATATGGAGATATTCATTTTCAAAATCATTATAGCAAATCAGAACTTTGCATTTTTACTGTACCATTCTGAAATTAAGCATCCCTTAAAAATAAGCACCCTTATAATATGTATAATAACCAAAATAAGCACCCCTCTGATATGGTCATTTGTATTTGCAAAAATTTAACAAAAAAAATGTTCTTTATTAATTTAAAAAGATAATTTTAGATTACTAATTATTATCTCATATAATTAAATTCATTATTGTCATACATAGAGAGATTTAGTTCAATTTCAAAAAGAGGATCATCTTTTAAAGTAATTGCTTCATGACTTATAATAAAAAGTAATTAATATAAATTATTTATATATACTTTAAAATTACCTAGCTTGTGGATCATGCATATCTATTTTAACAACAGTTTTAACGACTTTTTTTTTGTGCTTTTTTTTGGCAGCATGTTGTGTGAGCTAGTGTTTTAAAAAACAGACTTAAAACAAGTTTCGTGATTGAATTCTTTCGTATTTCGTGATAAATTCGCGTTAAGTCATACAAATGATATCATTAGACGATCCATTAAGCGATTTTATATCGGAAATCCATTTTTTATATCGGAAATTCGTTTTTATATTAGAAGTTTAAAATAAAATATTAAAAAAACCTTTTTTTTTTTTTAAGAAAATCACCAAATTTAAGCACTACCATATTTTAAATGGGTGCTTAATTTCGGAATGGTACGGTAATCAAATTATTTAATTTCCTAGAAAAAAGTTGACAAGAATTGCTAATGTAAGACGTTTTACTTATTTCAAATAAGTTTGTTTTAGTGATTTCAAAAAATTTCAAATATATCGAATGTTTACAAATTTTTTTCATGAAATATTATATCATATTTTAACAGTAAAATTTGATATAATAAGGTTTTTTTTTTATATATTGTGAAATTCGTTGTATCAAAATTCATTGTATTAAGAGTTAACTATAAAAATTTGACCAGTCCAATTGGATATATTCCAATTGGTCCAATTAGATAATTGGACTAGTCCACTGCCCAACAGAAAACTGGACCAATTATAAAAAAATTGGAACAAAATATTAATATTTCCAGTAGTCCAGTCCAGATTTGGTCCAGCTTTTGAAACTGGACATTTTCCAATGCCCAACACTGGGTGCTACTCCTAATAATCCATGACCGTCATCACTTAGATCAATAATTCCTGCTACAATCCGTGTCCTTCACAATCATCGTACAGGTCATAGTATTATTAATAAAATATTCCCAAAAGCTACTCTACATCCTATCCTCAATGCCTGATAAAAATAAATAAATTGAATGATTAAAGTTTTCGTAGTTAGTTCTTAATAATTAAAAATGAGATTGTAAATACCCTGTATCAATTCGTGACAATTGAGTTGTATCATTATGAGAAGCAATTAGGTTTGCTGCGCCACATGCAGTTCAATTCCGTCAAATCAACAAGAATTCCTTCCTTCGACACTTTCAAAGTGCAATTCTCTTTACATTGCATGCTTTCACAGTTTCGATGTTAATTACGTTAATATTTTCGGTTGAATCTTTAATTTTGAAATCGATTCCAAGTCTATTTAACTCTATATGAAATTAACATGTTGAGCTTCAATATTAAGTGAAAAGTGCAATAAATTTAACATAAAATACATTGCGCGAATTTTATGTGAAGATTGCTTGACTATCTTAGCAAAGTTGTAACAAAAGAAATGTCAAATTAATAATTAAATGTTGGTATTTCATTTTATTCTTTTTTTTTTAAAAAAATGAAAATAAATAAATTAAAGTAATTAATTACAAGGAAGGTATATGACACGACAATCATCATTTGACATAAGAAAAATTTTTGTTCACAAATTTGGTAATATATTCTTTTCAACGAATAAATTTATAAATATTTTTTCTTTCCAAAATAAATAAAAATCTATTTTAAATGTTTGTTATAGTAGTAGGAGATATTCCGTAGAACCAGATGAATCTTCGACTAATTCTTTTTGATTATACATATATGTGCTGGATAAAATATTTTAAAATAATCAACAAGATAAATAATGTCCCTATATCTTTTTGGGTGATTAACCCATATATTGAACATAATAACTATCGATAAAAGAAAGTCTTCATTTTCGGAGGAATACATTATTGACAAAAAATTTTTAATTTGTGACGTATCATTTTTCAATACCGTAGATCAGGTGGTATAATCACGCGTAAAGTGTAACGTCAAACGACGTAAATAATTGCGTCCCTAAAAATTTTTTCCCAAAAACCTCTCAGTGTAAATATGGCTTCAAAATTAAACGATGATTGTTTATACTATATTTTTCAATATCTAGAGGGTGATTGTATATCTCTACTTGCCTGTCTTCTCGTGGATAGAAAATGGTGCCGAAGCGCCGTTCCAATTTTATGGAGCAACCCTTGGAAATATCGAAAATTTAGTAAAAGATGTTACAGTGGTGCAATTTCAATAATTAATACGTATATTTCAACTTTACCGGAAGAAACTAAACAAGGTTTAATCCATGAAATTATCGTACGACCAAATTTGATGACGAGGATTGCAACTTTTGAATATGAAAAATACATGAGAAGTTTAAATGTTTTTGAACTGGAATTTTATGTTAGACAATGGGTCAATTATCAACCTGTTCGATTTGATTTCACCGCAACCCGACGTAAAATTAGAAGAAACAAAAATATTTCAAGAACTGCAACTGCTCATCAACCAGATATTGATCGTGATACAAGGATCTTGATGTCTGAACTTTTATATTTATTCCTCGTCAATTCACAAAAGATTGAAACGCTTTACATTTCAGATTTTGATAAGAATTTTTCATTTATTTTAAAGATTGCAGAAGAAGTACCGGAAGCTAAAAAGTGTCTTCAGAAATTACGACATTTAAAGATTAGCACACATCAACCAATCACTTCATCTTTAACAAGATTATCAGAAATTTCACGTAATGTTGAGCATCTGGAAATCGAGAATTGTAACGTTAATTCATTTGAATTAAAAAGGTTAATCAATGTACAAAATAGCTTAAAAGAATTAACCTTGGAATTTGTAGTTAATCAACCTTATCAAATCCATAATGCCAACAATGTTTTAAGTGAATTGTCTTCCAAAGCGAAATTCATAACAAGGATTGAGATCAGAGATGCAGCGGATTTATTCGTCATTTTAAACAGTTTTGAGAATTTAATTGAATTAATTATCAATAACACCGATAAATGTAACCTACAGAAATGGGAACATTTATCAAAAGTAAGGTCATTGAAGAAATTAAAAAAGTTGTTTATTAATAATAAAAAAGGACCCGTTTACTTTAAGATTATAGCAGATCTTATTAACAGATCTTCTTGTAATTTGGATATGATCGTGATTTTAACGACCAAACCTCAAGATCCGACCCATATAGGTACATTGATTGAATCAATCAGCAAGAATTGTTCGAATCTAAGGGTGTTTAAGGGATTGATTGGTAAAGATCACACGAGTGAATTCTCTCTATTATTACAAAGATGTAATCAACTCAAGATTTTGCATATTTACCCAGTGAAAACTTCTTGGGGGAATGAAATCTGTAGATTTGATGGTCTATTACAACAAATGACGAAGTATTTATCATTTAATTTAAATAGATTATTTTTGGAAAATGGTTGGCTAATTTCCGAGATTGATCTGTTTAAACATTTTGTGGAGGGACGAAAATTATTGGATTTGCAAAAAATTTCTTTCTATGCTTATCAATCTATTACTTATAGATATCAAGAATTGGTGGATATATGCGAGAATTATAGGGAGAATGATTATTTGCTAGATTATCATTTTTATTTGAAATGACCAATTCGAATCCAGGATAGGAATTTGCGTTCAATTGGAATGTATTGATTCGTATTGTCTTTTATATTTTTGACAGAATATGTAACAAGAAGAAAAGAAAAAGAAAATTTTGTCATCAACAAAGAACAAAAATTAATAAAATTCTGATAAATTTTGTTGGACATCGTGATGCAATATATCACGTGGCAAATGAATGACATAACGCGACATGTCGATCATCTATAGATCTTTAGGGTGATTTTTATGGGAATTTTCACTCCCAACTATGAATTTTTGGTCCAGGTATGTTTTAATATGATATTTGTTTATTAAATTATCAAGATCAATTATTTACGGATGTTTAATATAATCACGTCATTCAGAAAAAAAGAAATCAAGCGCGTTATTTTCTTTGCCGATGGCGCAGCGATTTATATATTTTTAATGATATTCATATAAGTGTAAGATGGATTACGAATTTTATTTTGTAAATGGTGCATTTTATATAATGGTTTCGAGAATATGTTCAGGTCATTATTGGTTAAGCATTTGGGAACAATAATATTTTCATCAATCAACTTATTAACTTATTTGATGACCTTCTGTAGATATCAAGTAAAAATAGGATGAGACTGCATTTAAGTGAAATAATTACAAACTGTATACTTAAGGTTCTTCGGGAAAAGTGATAAGATGCAAAGTCATTTCAATAATTTACATTATTCAAAATACAACTTTATAATTCTTTCTCCAACAATGCAGCCAACAGCAGTATGCGATAATCTCGAACCCTCTCCTATCGTTCCTATCTTTTAAACAAATACGACGAAAGAGTGATGCAATATCTGGCGGTATGAGTTATATAAGCTTTTGCTTCTTGCATCTTTGAGTACTTATATACCTTCAAATCATCGGAAAACTGCCACGTTCACTACAGTTTTACCATCGTGATAAAAGATGTCATATTTTTTATTGCAAAAAAAAAAATTTATTATTTATTTAAGTATATCATTACGTATTACTTTAATATGCACTATTATTTTCAAATTATATTATATAAATCATTTTCTATAGTATACTGAAATATTTTTCTGGTGATAAACGATATTTTTTTTCAAATTAAAATAAAATAACAATCGCACCTGATTTTGCTAGCAATAAAGAAATTGGTTTTAAGTTACTTTGATTATAATTTACTGTCTCGTAATTCGATTTTAATAAATATTTTTTTGAAGGGATTTTACTTGTTAATTTCAAAATTAAAAAGAAAGAATTTTGGCTCAAATTATTGCAAATTGAAAAAAATCGAAAAGCCAAACCAACTGATAATTCAATCATTCAGATGCAATTTAGATATAACCATTAAACTTTGAAATCTTAACACCTAAAAAAAAATGTATATTAGATCTGAATTACTATCACATTTATTTTGATATAATTATCTTATTTGAAAGTATTTCTAGAAAAATCAGATTCTGAGAATTTTTTTAACTAATTAATCTAAATCTAATAATTCAAAACTAAAATGTAATAAAAATTAAAAATTTCCAGAGTTAACAATCTTCCTATATAAGAAATTACATAAAATATTATAATAATCTTACAATTTTATACTATTATTTACTAGTGCTAAATTAGTTAACTACTTATTATTAATCAAATAACAATAATATAAAAGAAAATTTGTTTAGTATAATATAAATTATTTAATCAAAAGTATTGTTAATTATTTAAAAACATATATAATAATAAGAATTAAAATGTTAATATTTATTAGTAATAATATATATTAGACGACAATAAATATTCAGATTTTTATCATGTGAATTTGTATTTTTATATTATAATTGCCAATTTCTTCCTATTACATATATAAATAAAAGAGATAATAAAGTATTATTTTTTATTATTCTTCTAGTTAAAATATGTGAAAATGAAATTTTAAATACCAATCAGAAATGATTAATTAATATATATCTTTCTGATATTAAGTACTGTAAATAGTAACTTAATATATCAACTAATATTATAAGTAAAAAATATAAAAATATGTATTCTACAAACCTGAACAACATTAAAAAACTAAAAATACTCAAAGAATATAATATCTGAGCTTTAAAATGTATTATACAAATTGATTAATTTTCTCCTTTAAGTTATATGACAAATATTTATAATACTAAATTTGATATAACTTTATATTATAATTTAGTTAAAAATTATCTTCATAATAAAAGTCTTAGAAATACATTATATGAAAAAAGCCTTATTTAATTAAAAATCATTGAACTAACTATTTGAAATAATATAAAGAAAAAATTAGGTAAAGGAATAAAAATAAGTAGTATAATCAGATAAATCAAAATTTGCTTTTTTTTAATTAGATAGTCAAACAAGAGTATGAAAAGTATATAATAAAGATTGTATTTAATCTATAGTTAAGTTTAGAAGAAATCAGTAATATTTTAAGAGTGTTTTGGTTGATATAGGTTATATTTTTCATTGTGATAGAAGAGAATATGAATTTTGACAAATATGTTAATATTTTAAAAATTATTTTATTCTATAGATTATCAATTATTTTAACTTTATTTTTCAATAAAATAAGGTATCATATCATACTTCAATTTATAATATTTAGTAAATAAGAATATATGGCATTCTAATTTTAGATTAGGTAATGCAAAACTTTGATCTTAATTTAATAAAGAATTTATGAAACTATTTGGATAGTCAGATTCAAAAAAAGACTATATTATACAAAATATTACTTTTTTCTTGATAATATTTTTCATATAATTATTTATATTTTATATTTTAATATAATAAAATTTATTTGCCATTAATAAGTACAAAAAAAATTTTATATAAATACATAAAATTATGAATTTTATATGTAAATTTTATAAATAAAAAAATTTAAATATTTATTATAGGCCAATATATATAATTAACTAATTAGTATTTATAATATATAGGGATTAAGCTATTAAAATCACTCTACAGAACATTATTATACTAATTTATTAGAAAATTCAATTTTTAAATGAAATTAAAAAATTTTTTTTATATTTATTATTTATTATTATTTTTTAAAAAAATATTTATTGAAGTATTAAATACTTTAGACTTCTCATTTAATCATACATTCAAACTATTAATAATAGTAAGATTGAATTTTATAAGAATCTGAAGCTTTTTTAATTTTTTTAATATAATGTCGATCATTTTTAATTCTAAATTTAAATTTTTTTGACTAATATTACACAATAAAATGAAAGATTTTAGTAGTCTAATTACTTACTTTTTAATAAGATAATCTACTATAAAAATTTAACTAAATAAAGTTCATATATCATATAATAATATGAATCAAAAATTTCAATTTTAATTAATATGATTCTGTAAGGTGATTTTAATAGCTTAACCCTATATAATTCACTTTATAAAATATTATTTTTTAATTAAAAATCAGAAATTTAATATTATTTTCTTATAAAATAACTTAAATTTCTTTATATTTATGTAATCTAATATAAATTATAATATATATTTATAAAAATTTAAATTTAAAGATTAACTTAGCTATTATTTAGCTAATTTTTAAAATTTTATTTTTTTTAAACATTTTTAATAAGATAAATAAGCATTTTAAAATAAATAATTATAATAATTATATATATTATTATATTTATTATTTAAAAATATTAATAATATTAAATAAGGCTTGCTATTATTTATCAATTGTAATCATTATCATGTTATTTATATAATCTAATTTAAATTTTGTCAAAAATCAAAATCATCTTTTTGGAATTATATAATATTAACTAAACTTTTAAAAAGGTATTTTAATAGATTTTATAAATTTTAGCTAAAATTAAAAATGTGATAAATAACATATGATAAATATGATTTTATATTTAAGTTATTAAAATATATAGTAAAAATTAAAATAAAATATATAATATAAGATGATAAATTATTCATATAAAAAATTATATAATACTAGTATAGTATTAATCACTATTAGTAATTTTAATAAAATTTATATAAATACTTTGTAGTAGAAAGAGAAGAAATTATCAAAAAAAATTTTTTTACCTTATAAATTAAATTTTATTATTTTAGTAAAATAAATTCAGATTTAATATTAACTCAAAAAATTTTTTTTAGTAGTTTTCTCCTTTTTTATTATAAAGTACTTATATATAGTCAACTTTTAATATAGCGAACTCTTGATATAATGAATTTTTTGAATAAATATAATAAAAATACTCTTGTTATAGCGAATTAGCCAATCAAATCTCTTAAAATCTTCACTATAACCTTATA